AACCGCATTCGCATAGTGAATTATCCCTAATCCTGATCTTGGCGAGATGGACGTATGTACATGCATGACCTAACCTTAAGCGACAGACAATTGAGGTTGAGCGCTTGCTAGCTTTATTAAATTTAGAAAAACCAGGGTTTACTTGGGATAATACTTTGTATGGAGGCATAATGTTTACCCTTTGAAATTTGTGAAACTTCCCACAAGCCCTTCCACTTATTAACTAGCAATTTCCTAGCGAGTGATACTAAATCATGAGAATAAGTCATGGCTAATGGAATACCATTAGATATTGCATCCTTAGCACATGTGTCAGCTGTTTCATTTCCATGAATCCCACTATGGCCAGGTATCCATGCCAAAGTGACATGGATTCCTTTCGTAAAACATCTAAAAAGAACATTTTTAATTTTTAAAATTAAGGGGATTTTAAATTTACTATGAAATTGGTTAGATAGAATAGCCTGTAAAGAACTTTTGGAATCAGTGAGAATAATAGTCTTGTGAAGGTTATGTGACTCTATATATGTTAATGCTTCATAAATAGCTGTTGCCTCACCAGTGAAAATGGAACATAAAGGGGGACAACTATATTTTAAAATGATTTTAAACTTGGGTATCCAGACTGATGCACCTATGCAGAGATCATCTGAAATTTTGGAAGCATCAGTATAGACTACAAGCCAATCTAGCCATGATTGATCTAATAACCTTTTCAATTTTAAATTTGCCATAGGATCATTTTTTTCAATGTTGAGGTCCAAGTGGACATCAGGTTGATGAATAACAGCTTCATAAGGAGTATCAAATAAGGGGTTGACTTTGCAAGAAAAAATATCACCAGGAATTTGAAGAAGAGTTTTGTTTCAGCTCTTAAACAAACATGGCAAATCTTTGTGGACCCAGTAATCACTTGTAGACACAAATTCCGATAGGATGTGTAATTTGGGGATAAGTGGATGGCATGAAAGCTGATATAGTTTAAAGAGGAATCTATCAGAAAGGTACTGTCTCCTTAAGTAGAGTGGTGGTTCAACACACTCCACTTGAAGGGCATTAATTGGAGAAGTTTTCATTGCTCCTGTGATGATACGGAGGCATTTGTACTGAATCTTATCTAAAATTTTGAGGGATGATTTACTGCATGGCTCCATGAGGAAAGAACCGTAATCTATATAGCTACGGATAAGAGCATTATATAATAATCTCTGGGAATATGGATGGGAACCCCACCATACACCAGAAAGGGATCGAATGATATTAATATTTTTCTCACATTTTTTAGAGATGTAATCTATATGATGAGTAAAGGATAACTTTCTATCCAAAACTATGCCTAAAAATTTCACCTTGTCTCTATTGGGGATAGGGTGGCCATCATAAGTGATTAAGATATCAGGTACTCTCTTATGGCGGCAAAAGATTACTATGCTGCTCTTTAAGGCAGACAAACATAGACCATGGTCAGTTAGCCACTCTTGAAGATATAGCATGGAAGAATTTAGAAGGGTACAGGCTTTAGAAAGGTTATCTATTGGTAGGTACATGGCTAGGTCATCTGCATATTGGAGGACATTACAAAATGAATTAACAGATAGTTCTAAATCATAGGTGTAAATAGTATAGAGAAGAGGGCTGAGGACTGATCCTTGGGGAAGACCTTTCCAAATATGTCTAGGCGACAACATAGAATTTTTAATATTTATATGGATTAATCTAGAAGAGAGAAAATTACAAACAAAATTTACAATCCTCACAGGAATACTCAGCTTTAGCATTTTCTGCCTGAGCACTGGAAGAAGTACATTATCATACGCAGATGAAATATCAAGGAATATACCTACAAGATAGTTATGTTTAGATAGAGCTATTCTGATGTCTGTAATTAATGTACTGAGGCTGTCCATAGTACTAAGGCCTTTTCTGAATCCAAATTGACTTCTTGGTAAAACATCTTTGCTTTCTAGAAACCATTCTAAGCGATTTTTAATCAGGTGTTCCAAGATCTTTGCCATGGTACATGACAGAGACCATGACTAGGTTTTCCTGGTTTAAGAATGGGTAAAATGATTTGCTCTTTCCATTCTTTAGGTGGGACACTTGAAATAAATATGTTATTTAAAATATTACATCCAATCAAAATAATTTTCAGGCTTGTGATCTGACATGTTCAGTAAATTTGACAGTGTTTTATACAAAATCATTTGTTTATAAATACATAAACATTATGATTTTTAACTAACAAATCATCCATCAACAAAAAAAATATTGTTTTTAAAATTATTTATTTGTAATAAAGTATGTATTATAACATCTTTTGTACACACTTCTTACTTCAAATTTTGTGAAACATAAACATCTATTAATAATTAATATAAACGTAATAATTTGATATGAGCATAATTATTAATTGTGAATAATTTTATTTCTATTTCAAACATTTAAAACTATTTAATCACTGTTTTAGCTTTAGATATAAGAATACAGTGAAAAAATGAAATTTTTACATAATTATCTATAATCATCTTAACTACCTACGTCAAATTATAAATGTTTTAATTTATCCTTAAAATAAAAAGGACTTTATTCATCATCCAATAAATTGTAGCGTAAGTTCTTTAAAAAAAATAAATTATACATTAACAAATACATCCGAATGGAAATTCATAAACAAAGTATCGGTATTTGTTGATAAGAATTATCAGTTCATCTGTATTTATTGTATTATTGCTGTGTATCAAGTGTTACAAAAAAATTTACTATAAGGAAATAATTACCTTTTTTAAAATGAAAACTTAACAGAATCAAAGTTATTTCTCAAGACATTCACGTATATATACTAAATGAACGACGCCTAAGCATATTTATGCGACTCTACAGAAGAATCTCAATAAATTCCAATGAATGAAAAGTTGGGGTTTCAGTTACGGTTAACTTACCTTGTCCGCATTTTTCAGACTTGGGAGTAGAAGTCATCATTACTTTAACACAATTCACTAGGACATATTATCACGCTTAATGAGTTTGCCGGGTTTTAATAAATAGTTACAAAAATGCTAATAAAATAAGAATCGACCGGCAGCCATATTAGTTAGACACCTTATTTTTATTCTGTCTGTCAATTCGGATTCTGTTTACGCGTTATAGATTATTATCGTATTGCACATACGATTAGATTGTGATGGACAGAACGTTTAAATAAAATCATATTAAATATAAAAAACATTAAAATAAGATATTATAATTAAATAATATAACAACCAAGTATGTCTAAGTGAAATATGTCATATAATTAACAAATCCAATTTTGTGAAAAACTAACAGCTTTCTTCTTTCCAAAAAATTAAAAGTAACAAACAGCCTACATATGTCTCACAGCTGGGCAAAGGCCTCCTCAGTCAGAGGCAGAGGGTGTTAGGGGAAAGGCCGCCGTGTGGCCCCACTGCGGATTTGAGGACATCACATAACTAAGAAAAAAAATTTTTTTTGTTGTTATTTCGAAAATATGCAGCTTTCATCAACATATTTTTCTTCACTGCTGGGCTGGTGATATATCAGAACGTATAATCAATAATTTCATTGATGTCGGCACCAAGCGCCCGGATATTGAACTATTGGGGCTTTTTTCCCATACCGTACTTAAACCTGATTAATTTCTAATAGAAGTTTTAGGCTTTGACTGAAGAGGTCCGGTACAAATAACCTACGGACTCAAGAGATACAACGTAGCTGGTGCACAACATAGACGCGATAATGCTGTCCGCTCGACTTCATCCCCACGAACCCTTTTAAGAAAAGATGGACTATTCAACTACCAAGGAGAAGCTACGTCATGATACAAGACCAGAGGATCAGATGGAGGTTCGAGTCATTCCCTCAGTTCAAGTGGGTGCGAAATAGATTCCTATTGTTTTACTCCAACAGAATTGAATGGCATTGATTTTGACTTTTATAGTGACCTATCAACGCTTCTTTAAAGAAAATGGATAGAGTTGTTATTTTTAGGTCACGATGCAATTTGGTGTTCCGCATATAATATGGAGCGATCGATCGAACGATTGTTCAACGACGAGATCGGATAAGTTCAAAACAGACACTCGCATATTCACATGTATGACATTAGAATACGTGCTTTGTATATGTTAAATTTGCTACCTTACTAATTGCTTGTGAGTGGCTTGGAACGTGAGGCATTACGGGATGACTCATGACACTATCCGCTCAGCTGAAACTCTGCGTCTCCAAGGGACGAGCGATGTAAATCTGATTAGTATTGCGATTTAATGGCAAAATAATAATAATTTACGGATACAATTATTAATTAGTGACGATAAAACCATTTACGTAAAAAGAAGGTATTCGAAAATAATAAATTTAAAAATGTTAATAGTTTCTGAAAATGAGTAATTCCAAATTTAATTATCGATAGATTGGACACATACTCGTTATGAAAATAATAATATCAACACGCTATAAAGTATAAATCAAAAATGCGAAAAGTGCGAATCACACACTATAAAAATGTAAAATTTATAAATATAATGTCTGATGATTATGCATTAAAATGTAACAATTAGTTTTTCAAAGATTTAAATGCTATGAAACATGTATTTTATTCATAAATCATGAACAACGGTTGGTTGTGCATTTGTTTCATTCTATAACTTTTCATTTATACACTGTGGCAGAATAATAATTTTGACACGGCTGTAGTTTGCTAGTTTTATGTATGAAACTAATTTCTTAAACATAACCAATAGTGGTTTTAGTAACCATGGAAGTAAATTGTTGATTCGATCTATTCTCATATTTAAAATAAGTGGTAAGCTTTAGGCTGTGTTAAATTGAGCTTGTGCCGCTAGCACTACGACGTAATCATGGCGGACCCCCTTAGTTTACTTCGACAATATAATGTAAATAAAAAAGAAATAGTTGAAAGGGACAACCAAATTATTTTTGGTGAATTTTCGTGGCCTAAAAATGTTAAAACTAATTATCTTATGTGGGGGTAAGTATATTAATAACAAGTACCGTAATTAAGTTTGAAAAATCGCCAAGTAATGTAACTGAATATGTTTACGATGTCCTTTTTATTCCTACAGTTCTGGGAAGGAAGGTAACAACAAGGAATATTATACATTGGAATGCCTGCTATTTTTTCTCAAAAATACGCAGTTGACCCATCCAGTGTATGTCAGACAAGCAGCGGTGAGTTAAATATATTTAAATCATGTAACAAACTCTTATAATGTCCGCATTTTTCATGTATATCTTGGTAATTGTTTACGATTGATCTATAATTGAAATCTTTAATAATTGCCTTGTAGGCAGCAAATATATCGGCTGTTCGTCGTCCTGATCGTAAAGAGTTACTTGCATACCTTAATGGAGAAACTGCTACTTGTGCTTCAATAGACAAAAGTGCACCTCTGGAAATACCAACACAGGTAGGCCATTAATAGTATTGCCATAAATCAAGTATATTTATCTTGGTTTTGTTCTATTATTCGCCCGGACGCGTAAGTCATATGAATGGGGCAGGAAGGCGTGAACCCTCCGGTGGGGGGAGGATGGTGTCGGAAAAGTATAGTTTATGAAATATATTAAAAAACTATCATAATATTAATGTTCCTATAGTGGTATTTATTTAGAATCAGGTGGTGCGGGGACTGTAAGAACACTGAAACATTTAGTTCAATGTTCTAACCTACAGGTTGTCATCAGTTCAGTTTTGGGGCTATTCAACTTTCAACAGACAACATTGTAACCAAACCTTTTGTACCCTTTTTCTTCACATGTACTCCATAATCATCTCATTTAAATCGATTAGATAGTTTTATATACCAATATATATTTTAAACAATCCCTAGTAATTCCTTATTACTACCTGCAAAAATAGGTTGATGGAGTCCCGCTCAGTGTTTATGAAAAATAAAATCACAAAAACTAAGGCAGGAACACCGCATTATACTTTTAACTTAACCTATCTGAGGATTGTTCTTATTCGGGGTGTCAACCATAATGATGATATCAAAAATAAAACAACTTGAAGGACCATTAAATATATATTTATCTCAGTTATATTCTCTTTTTGGATCATATAGAATAGTATTGTTTCTTGCCAAAATTATACTAGATGATTCCTAGAAGTTAACCTATAAAACTAATGTGGTAACGAACATATTAATTAATTTCCTTGTAAAATTTCGATGTTTCATAACAACGAACAAGCGTCTATGTGAATAAAGATATTTTATTATTAAAGATATTTTATTATTAACATAAGAAAACTATAAGTTTCTGATGAAAGTCCTTCTAATGGATACTAATCGGATTTCCTGCAGAAACTTATAGTTTTCAAGTACCTATAGCAATTTTAGAATTTTTTTTTTATAATGCTAATTTCTGCACTTAAGATTAAAAACTATCATTATACATTTTCTACAAATTTTAATACCTATAGCAATTAAAATTATAGTTATAATAGTAGGCCAGACACTAAAGCCTTAATCTTTAGATGAGTAATATGACACCATTTTTTTTTTAATTTAAACAAATGGAAGAAATAGTATGAAAGAGCGAATCTGGTTACCTCACTCACTAGATTACATGCGCATAGTTGAAAAAACTTTTACTTAAGGGTGGTTTTTCTTTAGGCTGTGGTACTTGCCAGGTAAGGCTGCATTATTTTTGCACGAGTTTTTATGTAAGCTGTTGTTGCTTACCATAGTAAAATACAAATTGTATATTATAATTATGTGATTAATTGTGTTAAATTTAACTTTTTTTGGATTTCATATTCATATAAAATGTGAATTTATCCTATGTATGTAATCTAACTATAATGTATTTTAAACTAGGTCAAACGAACACATGATAATGATGGCGGTGAATCAGCTGCGAAGAAACCTCGTATTGAAGAAACACATGTGCAAAAAGTGCGGGAGCAGCTTGCTGCTCGTCTTGATGCTCCTAAAGAAGCATCTGTCACTGTGGACAATATTAAGTGAGTATGCACTTAATTTATCTATAGTGCACATAGCAACAGATAAATTACAGATCTAATTTTTATGAAAGATACAGCTTACTTGATATAAATGAATTAATTTGCTGAATATCTGAAAATGAGCATAAAAAACGAATTTAGCTAAACTGTTTCAGTACAGCAGTACATTATAATATTATTTTTATTCGGTTTAGGTTTGGTTTCTAGGTTGTTGGTTTCAATCTGTGACACAGTTCCAACATATGCAATCACTATTTTGTGTTTGTTGCCATATCTTTGTTATAATTCTGTATTCTTTTCACTTAAGATGAAACATTAATAAAATTTGAAGAAAAAGGACAACAACAATGTAGATAAAAGATGTTTCAGCAGTTTGATAACCAGCTTAGTGGTTAAAGCGTCGAATCCGGACGACGTTGGTTCAATTCCCGCAGTGGCGACAAGCTTTCGTCCTTTTTTTACAAATTTTAATCTATAGTCTATATATTTTCTAAGGAATCTATTCTAACATCACATCTTTTCAAAAGTCATTTGAGTTGCCAGAAGTATGGTTAAATTCTTTAAATTGATTATTCTGGCCAATTCAGAGAGTTTAACCACCTTTTTGCAAATGAAATGACATTTGACAGCTGATTAGTTAATTTCTACTATGATTAGTGTTTCAGAAGGCAGTAAGGGCCGAAAGCAAAACCGTCCATTAAAGTAAAGTAGCAAACTTGAAGATAGATAGAAAGGATAAATATTCTTATTGCAATTTAATACTTTTAAATAAATTTTGTGATGATAAAATTGATTCAAATTTTTTTAAGAATTTTTTTTTTATTGTGGAAAGTTGGCAATTAAGCAGGCGGTGCACCAATGTTTAGTGATTACTGCCACCTATGGACATCTACAGCACTTGACAGGATGCAGATATTAAAAAAGTACATTGCCAAATATTAAAAAAATGGGCCTCACTCACCGGATGAAACGCGAAATAAATATTTCCATTTCACATTAGTCTCACTCGGAAAGTTCCTGAATGAGGTTGCCCTTACGTATTCCTTATTAAATTTAATTTGTTTCTAGAAAACTTATCATTTCTGTTGTGCCTACTAAAAAAGTAAGTAAAACAATTCATTCTGTGGTCAACACACAACGGACGGTGTTAATGTGCATGAGTGAGGGGTTAATGTGAGATGTTAGAAAATCTGGCGAGCGACGACTTGTCGAACCAGGCCCTGCACGACATCCTACTGGATATTGTGCTGGAAACCCAGTCAGATAATAGCTACCGATCGAGCCGAGGTCCGGCCCTCTCGGGCACCCTCGAATCGGAATGCTAAACGCGTGTTGAGCGACAGCTCAAGCCGAGGTCGCCTCTCGGGGACCCTTGAGCCTGATCACTCTATGGAGCGCCCGCCAAAGCGCCCTAAGAGCTTGGCGGCCTCCCAAACCGGTGAAAATAATAGCGTGACGGCCTGAGCCGACGTTCCCTCGGGAGCCCTCGAGCTTAGTCACCATAACGCGTAATAATAATACGCGAGGTTCAGGCTAGGCGCCTCGAGCGCCCGGCCACCTCAAGTCCGTCGGATCTGTAAAGGCCCCTAAGGCCAACAGTGGCTCATCCAGCCCAAAAAAAAAAGTGCTGGACATGGTGAGGCAAGTGGTCGGCGTACGTATTAGACCACTTCATTAAAACGCTCCTAAAGTCTGTCTGTCCTAACGTCTCCTCTCCATTGATTGTGTTAAATTTTTGACTGGAAGCCATAAATAAGCACATGATTAACATTTAAATTTATAAAATATTTATAAAACATAGTAGTTTGTGAGTAAAAACTGTTATGTGGTGATATATAATGTTTAGGTGATGTATGAGAATAATAAATACTGTTTAGAGTTTAATAAGTAAAAGTATGTAAGTTACATTGATTTAAAATAGTATTATATTAAACTTTCAAAATAAATAAATAAAATAAACCATTACATTGACCGCCTCCCACCTGTAGGAGAGGGGGTTCATTATGTGTTGTCAGGCAGGGGGTGAGGTAACTTGTAATAGTTACATTATTTTTACTTATTCTTTTTGTATATTGCATAGTAAATAAGTTTTTTTACTGTACAAATAAATTAAAAATTGTATCAAGAATAAAAGTTAGTTGTAAATAGATATAAGTTTTATGGATAAATAAAGAATACTTAGCTTATGAGGTGTGCGGGGGTGAGGTCGATGGTCCGCTGGCCAGCACGGCTAATCAGTATATAAAGACCGCCGTCGGCGGCCGAAGTCGGAGTCTCTCTGGAATATAAGGAGTTGTTATATCGCGAGCATGAACTATTGAACCTCACTGCCCGCTTGCCTCCAACAAAAATACCTTGATTCGTTTGTTTTATTTAATATAAAAATGCGTCATGCCATAACCAGCGCGACGTCGCGCGAGCATAGGCCGACCCCTAACTGTTCTTATATTTATCTATTTTTTTATATTTTTATTCTTAGGTCTCTATCAGAGGCTATGTCAGTGGAGAAGATTGCAGCTATAAAAGCCAAACGTTTAGCTAAGAAAAGAACTACAATAAAAAGCAATGACTACTCGGACACTTTAGGAGTAGTTGGCTCAGACCTTAGAGCTATATTAGACTACGATGTTGATCTGACAAAAGACATCATTAGTCGAGAAAGGCAATGGAGAACTAGAACTACAGTATTGCAAAGTAATGGCAAGGTATGTTAAATAAGACTAAAATATATAATGCCATTTATAAAAAAATAACTATGACAACTCATGCTCTGGTATTGCAGATTCTAATCAATGGTTTGCAACAGGCATTGCACTTGTTACTCTTTGTATCCTCAAGAGAGTGTTTTTATTTTGTGATTATCTATGATTATAAATTATAACTAACAGCAAAATCGGAACAGTTGTCATTAGATAATTATGTTATCATGAATAAATGTAAAAAGATAATGTTTTCAACAATATTTTTAACTGCCTTGTTCCAGATGTTTGCCAAAAGCATTCTTGCTCTCTTAGGTAGTATCAGGGCGCGTGAAGAAGGTCGACCGGGTGCACCTAGACCTCAACCTGTAGTAATGCCTCCTCCAACTGCATTGCCAGCACAACAAACTCAGTACAACAGATATGATCAAGAAAGGTTTATTAGGCAAAAAGAGGGTGTGCACATTATATGTTTTTCTATTTATTGTGCAGATAAAAATATTCTTATACTGTATTGTTTCAATGTTTAACAATAAAAGCGCAATAAAAATACGTTTTGCTTACAGAGACTGAAGGTTTCAAAATTGACACTATGGGAACATATCATGGTATGACCCTAAAATCGGTGACTGAAGGACCAAGTGTTCCTGTAGCAGCAAGAGCACCACAGACACCTAATCATCCACGACAAATGCCATGTACGTATTCATATTATATTTTTTTTAATGATAGTAGTATTTGATAATTACAATGAAAATTAAAGATATTGGTGTGAAGGTGGATATTACAATGGCCATATGTTCTGTATATAATCATAGTGTATATTACGGTAATCAATATACATATTATGTATATTGATAAGATTATATAAATACATGCCAGTAACATGACATTTCACTGGGAATTCATCTAAACAGCCAAGAACGTTTTTTTTTTATGTGAAAAGTTGCCAAACGATGTTCACCTGAGGGTAAGTGAATACCGCCGCTCATGGACATCTGATACACCCGAGAGTTACAGATGCGTTGAAAACCTTTTGAAAATTGGGCTCCGGCTACCTCACTCACCAGACGAAACGCGAAAGTATTTGTCATACTTCCTCTTTACGCTGGTCTTCTGTGAGGTCGTGGTACTAACCCGGACGGGCCTGCCCATTCGTGCAACAGCTGTGACTGCTGCGTGGCCCTACCACCGTAATAATGAGACTGCTAAACATGAGTTTAGCCATCTTATTATTACGTCAATAATGTCTCACGAAAGTTTTAATAATTTTATAAACATCCAAGAGAATGAAACCTTTATTGTTTTTTGTTTAATTTAGTCAGAACCTGTACATGTGAACATGTCAACATTCCTTTGTAATTTTACCAATTTCTTTTGCCAGAATTCAAAAATAGAACAACACTCGCTTGATAATGACACATTATTATCCTAATCTTCCTTTCAGCTAGTGGTGGTGCTGGTGTTGGGGGGGCGGCGGCCAATGGTGGGCGTCGGGAGCTGTTGCCTGCAGCGGCAGCAAGAGCCCCGCCGGCCGGTGCCAAGAGGCCCTCTCGCACCCCAATCATCATCATACCAGCCGCCGCAACCTCGCTCATCTCAATGTACAATGTGAAGGATATGTTACAGGACCATAAGTAAGTCGATATATTTTGTCTCGCCCCATTCTTATAGTCGTAGTTTTTGTCACAGCCCAAGTATTTCATATGATATGGGCTTGGTCTAAGTTTGCATGTAACATATAATACTATGTTCAATATACATTATTACTCCCTTTTATATTATATATAAATATAGTAACACAAATGATGTACAACATAGAAAAGTAACTATAATATGGTTTAGTGCAATAGCTTCATACTATTAATAGCAAAATTGCTCAGGGTTAAATACAACTTTACATAGCTGCATCTACAATATTACCAAAACACAATTATATCCTTTAAAATAAATAACCAATGAGGGGTGAATCAAATCACTTCAATTTCAGATTGAAGCTCAGAAGTGATTATCCCAAGTGCATGTATATTTAAACGGTCAGAGTCTATTTTAAACATCTATTATATTCTTATTCTTCTGCAGATTTGTACCTGTAGAGCAAAAGAAAGCTGAGGGTGGAGCAAGGGAAAATGAAGTATTACTACAGAGAAGGAAAGGTCCCTCCGGTGATCAAGTTCCAAACAATGCAACTACTATCACTGTAGGATATATTTTAAGATTTATTCAATTATTATGATTTAATGAAATTTTAACATTGTGTCAATAAAGCTGTGTATATAATATATTTTTTTAGACAACCCTAACCATTTCTGATAATTATATTTATATTTATTTATGTATACTAAATTTTACTAAAATTTTGTGTCTTATTAGGTACCATATCGTGTTGTGGACAACCCTGGCAGGCTATCTGCGGCGGAATGGGATCGAGTTGTGGCGGTGTTTGTCCAAGGTCCTGCTTGGCAGTTCAAAGGTTGGCCTTGGGATGGGAATCCAGTGCAAATCTTTGCTAATAGTAAGTTTTCCATATCCGTGTGTGAAACCATAATTTTTAAGGATCTAGAACCAACAGATCAAATTATAAATCATTATCATACAACAACATGAGGCCTATAAAAGCCCTTGGTGCTACTTGTACTGAAAGAACTTTTAGTTTTTGCGTTTTTTTTACTTGTTCTGTACCATTATCTATTAAAACAACGATTAATATGTCTGTTGTATGGGAGCCCCGCTTATATATATTTTTAATCTGATTTTTAGTATTTGTTGTTATAGTGACAACAGCAATACATCATTTGTGAAAATTTCAACTCTAATTTTCACGGTTCATGAGGTACAGCCAGGTGACAGACGGACAGACAGACTGCAGAGTCGTAGTGATAGGGTCCCGTTTTACCCTTTGGGTACGGAACCCTATAAACAACAAAGCAAGTGACAATTACTTGGGTGTTGCACTCTTTCGTTGTCGATAACCAAGACCACACCTTGCCGCCGAATACTATTGCCAATAAGTGGACGCGATGCGATTTCAGTCTGCGCGTTCCACCTGAAGTACGACGAGATGAAGCTCGACGCGAACGTGGCGCGATGGGCGGTGACCGTGCTCAACTTGAGCCGCACCAAGCGCCACCTCGACCGGGCAGTGCTGCTCGGCTTCTGGGAGACGCTCGATAAGTACGGCGGAATTTTTTTCCGATTTCCTCATTTGTTGTTCTTTAGATTATATTTTACCTCTCCGTGATGGAGAAGTTTTGTTTGGCCATAGAAATGTTGCAGTGAGAGAACATGCAACCTTCTGGACATTTCAAAGTACGCGGGAATTTTTTTTTCCAATTTTGTTATTTATTATTCTTTAATCTTATTTTTCGTCTCCGTGATAGAAACTTTTGTTTGGCCATAGAAACGTTGCAGTGAGACGAGAACATCCTAACCATAACCTTCTGGACATTTCACACATTTGCTATTTGCAAAAACGGGTGTAATAAATGTTAAAATTTTTTATCGTCGCCTAAATTTTTATTTGATTATGGGCCATATTTTGAGGTAACGTTAATAACTAAACCACAGCCTTCATTGCAAATTAAGAAGTGTATTATGTAATACAATATTTCTATAATAGAGTCGTGCAGATTGTCGTTTTGTTTATGTGAAAAAGTGACAAAACTGACGGTTCACCTGATGTTAAGTAATAACCACCGCCCATAGACATCAGCAACACCCCGTAGGGTTGCAAATGCGTTGCCACCTTTAAATAAAGTGGGCCCCAGCTGCCTCACTCATCACACGATACGCAGAAGTGTAATACTTCTACTTTACGTCGGTTTTCTGTGAGGTCGTGGTACTAACCCGACGGACCTGCCCATTCGTACAACAGCGAAGACGGTTGCGTATTTAATTCTTCATTTGTACTGAATTTGAGTTTACATACATAATAATTTATAAGATGGTTCATTATATACTTATATATAACTTTGATATGTAACCCAAAGAAATCTTTAAACATATAAGTTCTTAACTAATAAGTGTACATTTTTTTTTTGTTACAGGCACATGATGAAGAATAAACCACATCTTAGGTTTTAAGTTTGTTGTAGTGTTATAGAATTTTATCTTATAGACTATATACCGTGTGAATATCTAAATGCCTTTAAAGCATAGAGAATCTAAGTCAATTCAAAACCATTTAATAATATTTTGGCTACCATGGTTGAAAATATACTTGATAAAATTGACATAACTTATAAATAAGTAGGTCTTTTGCAGTTTTGTACATTGTACCCATAGCTGTACAAGTCCCGTTTCACTTTCATAATAGTGATGTTGAACAGAGGGAGCAGTTAGAAAAAGTTTATATAGAAACTTTATAGTGTACACTCAATGAATAAAAAAGTACTATGATAATTTTGTGCCCTAAATATCGTCAGTACAATTAGAACGTGGAAAATGTACGCCACGAAGTTTTTTCAGTTATTTAGCTATTTATTTACCATATCGAGTACATGAAACTATTATTACATTTTAATTAAGCATGTTAAAAAGGATAGGAAAATATATAACAAAATGTATCAAAAATTACGTGCCTTTGAAAAATAATGCATAAGCAATATAGAACGTTGAAATATTAGTTATTTAATTTGTTCCCATTTAAGTTTTACATTTTAAAATGGTACTTAAACAGCTACACTTGTTTCACTAAAGAACTGAGACAAAAGTATCAAAAAAAATCACAACTTCACAACCGTAGCACCTAGTAATAAAGTCAGAAATCTGCGAAGCATTATCTTTACTTATGATTGTGTGTATGTCACATAAAACGAGAAAAACAATTAATTGCACCTATCACTTATAAATCAACAGACCTACATTAAATGAAGTTTATAATGAATTCCACCAAAAACAGTACTTCGCGAGTTGCATTACTTCGAATTTTACTACAGGCGGTTTGGAGACGCGTCGAACTCTATAATAATGTAAGTAGGTACATGAAGGTTTAGTTATGTTTAATTTGATTAAACAATCTCTTCCTAAACAGGCCTCTTTGCTTGTTAATAAATAATAAGTACCTACTTATTATTTTTATCGTTATTATTTTTTTCTATAAAACGTAAAGTAAAAAAGCCAAAAAGACACGAAGTATAAAAATGGTAATATCAGTAAAAAAAATGATAAACACTGGTAATGGTATTTAAGTAGGTACCTGGTAAGGTATTTAATATTGGCGGTTAGACAAGATGTCTATCGCTGGATGTCACAAATAAAAGTAGCACTTTTCCACATATTTATATTATTAATAATAATCTTTACTACCTTAATAGTATAAATACAGCTCATTAATAAATGACAAATACAAGTCTGCTCTATTCATGTGCTGTTTTTTTAAAATATTTGCGTGGATATTGGCCACCCTTGGTCATACATTTTTTCTAATGATTATTTTGTTCAAGTTTTGATACTATATATTAATTTAAAGCTTAATATATGACTTATTCCAAAATTATATAACTACCAAAAGTGGGAATGCACACCGGCCGATAAACAGCTTTTCTGGCATTATTTTTGCAATTTGTATACGTCGTTTGTCGCACAATCGAAGTAAACAAAATAAGCGTTCACGCCCAAAGTGATCTGGCATTTACATAGACGTCTTTTTAACACCGACCCAATATCTAGATATCGGTATTGTTGATCGAAGGTTGTGAATGCATTCCTACAGTGCATGTGAAGTAATCACGATTTTAATACATTCTTAATTTTTTTTTCCGGTAACTGGATATTTCACCATCGAAATTAGGCGTTTTGTTCATAGAATAGAATAATGAATTAAAGGTGCTGCATATATTAAAGGAAGGTGCTAATTATAAACCTTGAGAAAATTTTAATATTTTTATCAAAAAATAGTTTACTTATATCACCAAGTTGTGCTTAATTCCAACGGTGAAATTCACGTTTTATTTTCTGCTATTCCGTCCCTATTTGATATAGCATTACTTACGATATGAAAGTATTGAAAAAAATTTATTCTTTTTCAAATAATAATAATAATATAATTAAACTAATATTTGAGTTAGGAATTACCATAAAAAAAGCCTTTTATCATAGTGTATAATATAATCACTCATTAAGATTTCTTAACTTTTATCATGTCTTCTATATTATATTCAACTCTAACTCTATATTTAAAAAACAAGAAAAGGAATCATTTTTCTCATCATTAAACTATGCGAAATGTATCAACGCGAAAATTGCTATTTATATAAATTTTGAAGCTTTCTTTCCGAACATTCATAACAACATTGGTGGTAGGGCCACGCAGCAGCCTCGGCTGTTGCACGAATGGGCAGGCCCGTCCGAGTAAGTACCACGACCTCACAGAAGGCCAGCGTAAAGTGGAAGTATGACAATACTTTCGCGTTTCGTCTGATGAGTGAGGTAGCCGGAGCCCAATTTTCAAAAGGTTGTCAACGCATCTGTAACCCTCGGGTGTAGCAGATGTCCATGGGCGGCAGTATTCACTTAACATCAGGTGAACCGTCTGCTCGTTTGGCAACTTGTCACATAAAAAAAAATACTGTTTTAGGTAGGAAAATTATATATTATAAATGCGAAAGTAACTCTGTCTGTCTCGCTTTCACTTCAAAACTATTGACCCGATTTAAATGAAATTTGGTACACAGATAGTCTAGAGACTAAGAAAGGACATTTTTTAATTGGAAAAAAAGTGTTTTTACGGGCTTCAACGTGAGCGAAGCCACAGGCGAAAAGCTAGTTACTTATAAATTTTTATTATCTCTAAAGCGTGTTCGAAACCAGAAGACGCAGGTTTGAATCCCGCTGCGTTGAAAGTTTTTGTACATATATCTACAAAAAAGTATAATTCAAAATATCTCAAGACTTCTGAATTCAGCAGTTAAGTTAAAAAAAATCATCTCGAGTTTTGCCTTAGCTCCTTAGGCCCCTGCTCCTGAGTATTATCAGCCTTAGTTATCAGCATTAGTATTAACATAAAACTATCGTTTTCGGAATTGAATTAGGAAATACATTTGGCGATCGATGAATCGTTTGTATCATTTCATTGTACGTATATCATCTCTTTCTTTACGTAATAAAACTTATATATGTATTAATATATTACATGCCGGTGACAAAAACATCACTATATTAATTTTATTTTGATTATTATTGCTGGCAGTTATTTTTATTGGCACGAACAATGGTATGTAGAGTAATAGGATTAAATTAGACATAATGAAGATAAATAATTTTTATCAAATTGCACCAGATTTATTAAAAATAATTGTTGAGATAACTGTATTTGAATGCTACTTATCTAATGCTCTTTAAAAAAATACGAATCCAAACTCTCATATAATGCACTGTAATTGTCGTTGTTTGTAATTGTTGTTGCTCTTATATCACAAACTGTAATTGTCGTTATTTTATTACGTAGCCAAAATATTTTTAAATGGTATTGAAGTGTTCAAAGATCTGTGATCTTTGTTATATGACAACAATAAATTGTTGAATATTAACTGTGTTCCTTTTTTTTGTTATACTCATTACCTTTTCTTTCCTTCAGGTTATTTTTAGAAGTTACAAATCCTTTACAATAGGTATATTTACGTCGATGCACCGCACCGCTACACAGCACTCTCTGTATAGGTATTACGCATATTTAAAACAAGTAAGTATTTATTAAATGATTTTGATAATATTCGTGTAAAATCAAGAAATCAATGCATATTTGTTTTAAATATGTGTAATACCGTCTGGTTGTCGAAACACCACAGCCAACGCGAACAAGTGTACCTGACAAAACTAAATGACGTCGACGGCAATCAACATGGGAGTACCGCTCCGTGACGCGGGTGGAGCTCGACCATTGGCAATATAGTTGCTACCTTGCGCAAATGATCGTTCCAGCAGCATAAATACGTCTACTCTTAACTTATACACAATTGTGGTAGGGCCACGCAACAATCTTCGCTGTGGCACGAATGGGCAGATCCGTCCGGGTAAGTACCACGACCTCAGAGAAGACGGGCGTTAAGTGGCAGCGTTATACTTCTGCGTTTCGTCTAGTGAGGTTGCCGTGGCCCACTTTGTCAAAAGGTGGCAACGCATCTGCAACACTGCGGGTGTTGCTAACATCAGGTGAACTGCCAGCCCGCTTGCAATCTTATCACGTAAAAAAGTCTCGACCAGCCATATTTGAGAAACTACATCGGTTGCTTTAGTCTTTCGGCTGGTGTCCTTGCGATTCCGCCAGAGGCGGGGTAAGGTTACTTCCACTATTTACTCCTGACCTTGAAAGTACCTAGTCTTATCGTCAGTGTTCACGTTTCAACCCCCAACATATGAGAAAAAAAAGCATAATAAACTTTCAGTTGTCTTTATTTAAAATTTCAAAAAATCAATGTGTTTATAACAGTAAATAAAATTTTTTTCCTCCTGGAGTAGAACAATAAGTACATTTGATATTTCAATGTCAGTAAAGGTTTTCTTTATATGTAATTTTCATGTAGTAGTAAAAATAAAACCCTTCATTTAAGTTAACTACATACTTATATCACATCGTTAGGTGTGTGTGCCCGATATTACATCATAGGTACAGGTTATAGTTGAACGGGAGCAAAACAGGTAATTTATAGTTACAAATAATTGTAAGTCCGAATTTTAATTTATTTTTAACTCTATAAACATCTTTTTTACGAAAATAGCTTCGATAAGAATGTGAGTCTTACGGGTTTCCTCTGCCCCGGTAAGGAATGATAGGACCAATATTTACCGATCGCAGAGTTTAACCGTCCATAAAATTTCAACGATTCTTCATATATGTTTAGTCTTTAAAATGAGATAGTGTTAGACGTTCAAAATTGTCGTGGCTTTACCTTTTTCTTAATAGGAAAACGCCTTTAAATATATGTATATGCAAACCACAAACTAATAAGCTTGAAAAAAAATTAAACATTTTATCCGATAATCAAAGAAAATCAAAGTGTTCAAAATTTTCTCATCCTCAATTTCAAAGATCTTAAGCGGTAAGCCAGAAGAGACATTGAAGACATTGAAGATCCATCACCTCCCAAATTAGTTCAAGTTGTTGACATTAAGAATAAAATAATCAAACGTGACACACAGTTTTAAAAACTAAGGTTGGCTACTCATGAAAAGATGAACTACTTACTATGAGTTTAGCACAATCACTCATAGTGACGCAAAATGGCTCAAGCCTATTCGAGATCACCACAAGAATATAATTCATATTGTTTCGGGTCAAAGCCTTGCCGCACAAACTTTCAGATATTTCGATATTGCTTGGCCATGCAGGAATGATTCGTGCAAACTAATGAAATGGTCGATGAGATAGTATTACACACCTAATTAAAAAATTAAGATCATTATTAATTTCTAATTTAAGAATACTAAAAACGTAGTATTAAATTTTAATATAATAATAAGTAACATTAGTTTCAATTGTTCTTTTTGAATATGAATTATAGTACCTATACCTACGTCATAAAGTTCCATAAGCGGAATTAATTTAGATAATAAAAATACAAAATGAATGCAAAAAAATAAAATCATTAATATATAAATCTCTAACTAAATAAATCGAATTCTTTATAATTGGTGAACAAATATTATGTCCATAATAATAACTTCGAATAAATAAGTCTGGCAGATATTTATAGGTATATTAAATCAATGAAAGGAAGTAAACACTAACATAGCATTTTACTGATCATTTTGGAATACTTTAAGGAACTCTTTTTAATTTCAGTCAAATTGCAAATTTGATTTTAACTGTTATTTTATTTAAATTGATTGAATTTTAATTTTATCAATTAAAACACTTTTTTTTAAATAGTACCTAGAACATAGTCAAAAACATGTTCATTTAGTATAAATATGTTTATGACTGAAATATATAGATATCTATTTATACTTTATATTAGACAGTATAAATTTGTATCATATAAAGTTATAATCTTTAACCATCAAAAACAAACGCAATGAATATTTTAATCACGTAATTATTACTGTATAGATGTTGACAGAAATTAGAAATCATATATTCTTTAACTTATTATACTTAAGTATACCATTGATATCAAAAGTTGCACACAGGATCATAATCTCACAATGATCAAATAATAACAAACAATTGCTAATTAATTTATGAGTAAATAATAACAGCAGAGAATTCCGAAAAATGCTTTTTAAAGTCCAGCAGGGACTTTTCAATATTCGAAAGTTGTTGATGTTGGCACCACTTCAAGCACCATTTGCAGGAAAACGGTTATTTTATCTAAAAATTAATAAAATATTTTGATTAATAATAACCAAAGTACTTTAAATAAATGTCATTTATTATGAATCATTTCTTAAAAAATATTAGACGGTGATGTCCTGTCCATTGCTAGAGTCAGAAATGATTTACAAATTTCATTCCATAATTATTTTCAAACCAAATGGGCTTAAGAAAGTCTTAATACTTTATACTTGATATTGTAAATTGATTATTTTATAAAGAATAATATTTTGGTCATGGTCAATATAATATGATTTTCTTACCCATAAATGGCAAGGAATATCCCAATTTCACGAAGGGAATATATACCAGCAGTCCTCCAAGAATGAAGGAAGCAGCGTAAAGGTATTCCCATTGCGGTTTATCTATAATCGGGGCCACAACCAGATACGATGATACCAAAAGCACGATGTACGGAATTATGATTGGCACCTGGAAAAAATTACTTAAAAGTTCAACTGTGAAAAAGTGCTATTAGAACATAAAAATGAATTCCTTAACGCCCCCAGTCAGATAATAGCTACCGATCGAGCCGAGGTCCGGCCCTCTCGGGCACCCTCGAATCGGAATGCTAAATCAACAGTGGCTCATCCAGCCCAAAAAAATACTTAACGGGTTGAATCAAAGGCAAAATCTAATTGTTTATACATCACAGTAAAAGCTAGCTTATCGGGCATTTCGGGCTGTCGTCGGTAAGTCCGTACGTTTTAATTAACTTACCTTGTAAGGCCTAGGCGCATGCGGCTTAGTGTATCTCATTACAATTAGTGCGAGCATCGCTCCACCATAGAATATCCACGCAGTGAACGAGAAGAAATCGATCAATGAATCAATCGTTCCGTACAGAACCATTGCCACGGCAATCAGGGACTGTAAGTAGAAAATAAAGTTAAATAGGCTCACTGTAACTGATCTTTGAATCAACATTAACAGCAATGTGATTTTCTAAATGTAATTGTAGGTTAAAAAGTTCTTTACGTGGAATATAAGGCCGGGAGCGGGTGTAAACCGACGCACATGGACGTACGAGAGGATATCGAGCAAGTGGCCCTCACGCGAAGCCGCGAAACACAACCTGGTGATATAAAATTGATAAAGATGGTAAAATATCGCGAGAAATTTGTCGTAGCAATTAAAAGCATTAAAAAAAACTATTGATGGTAGGAGGAAGTGAAAATGTATTAGCTTCACAAACTCGTAAACATTATTTTTGGATTGATAACAAATATTTTTTACGAAGTATTTCTTTTTAGAAATTACTTTTATCAACTCTGATATCTGAGCGTAATGATCATGCAAGTTTAGCGCTTTAACCCCGCCCAACGTGCATAAAGAAATTTCACTTCAAAAATTTAAATTTTGAATTGACAGTATAATTTAATAATTTAGATAATGACAAGGAAGTTAGACAAAACTAATGTTTTAAAAAAAATCACAACAACACAACGTGGGTAAAAGAAAATGGCGGTATAACTGTTGATGAATTCTCTGTACTACTATAATAAAAATAATAACAACAACGCGTGGCGCGTTCAGATACCTTCCCGCGACGAACAGGGTCCCGTTGGCGGAGCCGAAGGTGGATATGGTGACAGCGAGGGGCATGAGCCAGGCCAACGGCCCCAGCAGCCTGTTGCCGAAGGTGACCGCCACCGCTTCGCTGTCCGCCATCTCGCTCACCGACATCACGGCCAAGTATGACACGTTCACCAGCGCGTAGCAGAGCGTCACCAACGGGATGCCGATTATTATGCTCAGAGGAAGGTTCCTATAACACCGCATTCCCAGTCATTGTTTGGCGAGCCCTAATCATCTTTGCCAATTTAGATAAACTCCGGTGATTTTTTTTAAGTGAAATTTTGGCAAACGAGCAGGCGGTTCACCTGATGTTAAGTGATTACCGCCCATGGGCGTTTGCACCACCTGGTGCAAAAGTGGACCACGGTTACCTCACTCATCAGACGAAAAGCTAAATATACTATAATACTATTATCTATTCGAATAATACTTCTACTTCATGCCAGTCTTCGATGATGCAGAAATTTTGTTGGAGAAATTTTTGATTACGGAAAAATACTTTCACTGTTTCAAATTTCATTTGCACACGCATTCGCTTCTGCTGTTGGCCGAATGGGCAGGCTCATCCGGGAAAGTACCATGACCTCGCAGAAGACCGGCGTGAAGTGGAAGTATTATACTATCGTGTATCATGTGGTAACTGAGGTAACGAAGGCAGACTTTATTAATTGCACAGTAAAATTTTAAAGCTGTAAGATTTTTTTTTAATACCTGAAAAAAATTAAATAATTTTTATCTTCATTCCGTTTTTTATTGTAAACGCTGCTTTTATTGAAAATAATTAATACATTCTATTCTAAGAAAAAAAAAACAATATTAATCACTGCGTAATAAGGTAAGAATTAAGTTTTAAACGCTTCCAGGAGTTTTCAACTAAAGCTGAAACTTATTACTTAAAACGTTACTTCACTTTTTACACAAAACAACTGTAGCAAAAATTCTGGATATATAATCCGCTTCAAGTTTACTTCATGTCGCCGCTGCCAGGTTTTGAACCTGCGCCTTCCAAGTAACGCGCCCAGACACTAACCACTAAGCTTAGCGGTTGCTTTACCGCGCGAAAATCTCGACGTCTTATCTACTTTATTTTTCATGCATTTTTAGCAATATGCTTCCTTTACAGTAAACACACTTTCATAAATGACACTTTTACAATGAACGGTTGATAATTATTAAACAGACTAATTTTCAATGAAATTGAGTTTTTTTTTAGTGCTGAAGGCACTCTTTATCTACACATTTTATGTTACATCTTAAATGCAGAGATTAGCATACAGACATAAAAAAGTAAGTTCACCGAATGTATTTCACAGCAATGATTAAAACGCAATGATTCACACCGATTTACACGTTGTAAATCGGTGTGAATCCCCGTTGCAGTTCAGGACATAAACATGGTGTTGATCAAAACATTTTTCATACAACATGAGCGAGTGTGGTTTTGTGATGAAGGAGAAACTAATAGACACGATAACAAAGATCGAGGTGCTGGGTGCTACTATACTGCACACTTACTTGGATGGATTTTTAATCTCTTCAGTGACATAGTTGAGGTTATTCCAGCCATCGTAGGCCCAAAGGCCGGTGTAGAATGCGGTGGCAATGTTTCCCAGAGTGGCCGTGCTACTGGCGAAGTTGGGCTCCTGTAAATGTCGCGTATTACCTGCACCATACGGACACAACCTAATGTCAGTCTGTATCTATATATACATCCCATAATGGTGACATGATCTAAATCGTTAAGACAAACAATGTTGTTAGCTTTGATCGTGGCGTTTAGGGCTGCCAGACAAAAACAATCACGAAAGTTCAGATTTAAAATTGGCGTATTTACCTTCTTACTTTTACCGCGCTGCTTCTGACAGCCCTTGTAGTGTGAAATGATTGTTACATGATAATCTGTTAATGTACATATATATCGTTATCTAAAACAAATGTAGTACTAGAAAACATTGGGTAATACACTCTGTGCGACTAAATGTTCTAAAGTAATTGAACATGAATATAAAACGTGCTAAAGAAACGATTTGGATAATAAAAGTTTTAACTACTTATTACAACAGCTAGCTATCGATACATTAGCTATCGATGTAAAATATAGATTTATATGCAAATGAAGTGGTGAATGCATAAGTGACAAACATAAAGGGGTTCCTCGGGATCAAACAGACATGGATAAGATTAAGTAAATTATTACCTAATATTAGTTTATACGCCCCTCCGCATACAATAATGGCGATCGCAACTAATTTAGCCGCTGTGAAGATGTTCTGAACGTTCGTGGCCAGATTGACACTGTAGCAGTTGACCGCCAAAATCATCACTGTAATAAAATTTATTTTAAAATATTTGAAACAGGTCCAATGGCACGTTCATTGGGGACAATCCATTTAAAACATTTCATCTCTCATCAACCATACCATCTCTGGTTTTCTCAATTCCATTTTTCAACCGTTTGATTTTTTGAAGGCGAGTTATTTTTTTTAATTGATAATCACATAACACAGGTTGCGCTCTGATTTTTCGTCAATTTGTAATTAACAAATAAAAAAGGAAGTCCTAAAACTTTTTAAACAATGATCAGGAAGCTAGTGATTATAAACAGAGACAACCGGTGCTATCAACTTTTTCTTGATACAAAGCCGTGTTACAAGCCAGTCGTCGTGCACGCGGTAGAAATAAAATTTTGACAGATTTTAGAACACGTAATAAATTAGAAGAATTGAGAAAGCATTGCTGTTTATCACCAAGGTGCAAATTCGAGACCTCAGTTACTGAGTCGATGTTCCCACTCCTAATCCGCAATCGCTTTATGTACTAAATTGGTATTTTCATTGACATTAAAAAACATATTAAAAATTGAAATTCGATAATTCTCATGGTAGGACGATAAAAAGGTACCTATGGAAATAACGGCGACAAGTTTCACCAAGGCGTGTGGAGGCTCGCACTCCGACACGAATGGCTCGACCGCGTACTTCGCGAAGCTTAAGCAGATTATAGCCATTTGTGATGGTTTCAGCACCAATGTCGACACCTGTAACATTAAGGTCTGTTTGTACCAGCCACTCATTTAATGTAATGAAGTAGGTAGCTAATTTTATGAGAATACTTCACAATCCTACCTGATCTTAATTGGCGAAGAAGCCATACATGCATTACGTAAGAAGAGTTACACACGCATTTTTCATTAATGCAAATATTATTTTGGATTGGAGCATATGAACTTTTTGAAAGTAATTTAAAATAGGTGTATTAAATTCACTTGAATGACACTTCGAGATTTCAATTAGTGCTTATCAGAGATTAATTTATTTCTATGTCAAATAAAGTCTTAGGGCTAACCTACTTAAACTGCAGTGTTTGTGAACAAATTTATTACCAATTGTAAATACTGCTGACGGGATTAACATAATTATATTTAATAACGCAAAGATACTGCTATAATATTGGCTTTAGGCATTGTTTAAAATGAATTCTATACTGTTTGCATTGTCTTTTTCAATAATGTGAAAGCTTGTGTTTAATTCGAAAATTTGTTGTTCTTATGAGTAAGAAATAAGTTACGCCTGTTTAAAAATGGCACTTTGTAATTACATTAGTAGTAAATGTTCCATTATTGATTATCCTTAGTACACGGAAAAAGTTCAACTCTCTAATTAATAATCTTATTTTACTTAGGAACCTTAATCGTTTGTTTTGTCCCAGGACTGGCAGAGGCTTCCCTCTACTTTTGCTCTAGTATTTATTTATACAAAATTTCTTTTACAGTTTTTGTATCTGCTTTTACATCAAATACACAAATTTTTCTTCAATCCATTGCCACGATGGTCAACATGTAGCTATTATTGATTGGTGACATAATTAAAGTATATAGTTATGTGTTAAATACAAATGTAGGCATTAACTTAAATACATGGAATCGAGCCCACGTCTTCCGGATTCGCGTCCCGACGCTTTAACCACTAATAGCTAAACGGCTGATAGTCACACCGACGGAAATCTCAACGTACTTTATCTAAATTCTTTTTTCGCATTTAAAATAATGCTCGGTGCATTTATTGTTAAGTCCTTTCCAGAAGACAAATAATTTCGAATAACGGATGTTAGAATCTTATGTGTAGAGATTAGCACTATAAAAATTATAATTAGATACTTTTTTATTCATTACCCATGAGAACAGGAAAGCGGGCGGTCCACCGAACGCGTCCATGAAGTATGCGTACTCAGCACCGGACGACGTGTTCATCGTTCCCAGCTCCGCATATGCGAGCGCCCCTGTCACAATGTATTACAATTCATTGTAGCGTTGCGCATATAAATCTCTAATCGTTTTATATAATAAATCTGTGTTATATAAAAATAAATCATAAATTTAACACAATCTAAAATAGTACAGTGTAGTGTAGTAGAGACATTGAAATGAGAGAGTAATAATGCAATATACTTATTTTATTTGAACCTCGATTAGCTTCTATTTTAATTGTATAATATTTTTGTGCAGTGGAATAGTCAACAGCTATAATACCACGAGTATTTTTTTTCCATTTGACTTTGTTTCTTGATTTTATTGTGGGTGTAAACTTACCAAGCAACGAGAGCAGGCCGCATGCCATCCAAATGATGAAGCTTATGCCTACTGAGCCTGTGCGCTCTAGAAGCCCAGAGGGCGAGACGAAAATTCCGGAACCTACAACAATAAAATGTTTTGTTTTAACCATTCAAATAAATTCCATTTAAAAGCATAAGCTTTTTACGTTCAATGCCGAGAGAGCTTTACGGACGAAATTCCAAAACACAAAAGACATAGCTGAAGCATTTTTGGGGTTGTATTAAGTCCTTGCTTGTGATTCACACCAGAATAGTTTTTGGCAAATATATGTGTAACATATATCTGTAGTAGGATCTGTCTGATCTGCTGAGTTATGACCGGTCGGGTCACGCAGCAGTCTTTTCTGTTCCACTAATGGGTAGGTTCATCCGTAGAAGTACCATAACCTCACAGAAGACCGGCGTGAAGTGGGAGTGTTATACCTTTGAATTTCTTCTACTTAGGCTAGTGAGTTAACCGGGGCGTACTTTATTAGAAGATGGAAACGCAACTGCAACCCTTCGGGTGTTACAAATGCGTTGTATCAGGTGAACCGAAAGATCGCATGCCACCGTGTAACCTAAAAACGTATATATTTCTGTATATGCTTAAGCTTAAACTACAAAGCAATAAATAATTATTGCCTTACAGTCGCATTACTTTTTTACAATGCAAAATCTAAATAACACATTTTAGAATTCGACTACATTGAATACGCCATCGTTACTATATTAAAAACCGCAAAACCTCAAGACCCAATTAATGAAAGTATTTGTTGCGAAATAAAATATACAAATATATGTTATGCAAATCGCTACCATAAGCCCTGTGGATTTTATCCCGTAAGATTGAATGTTAAAATTAAATCGTTTCAATGTTATTAAAAATAGTACATACGAATTGACTATGACGCAAATCAGCTTTATAGTAACGGGCATGTGATTTAACATAAATAAAGTACATGTCAAGGCTCCCCTCGCACATGATCTTTATCTTCTTTTAATCACGTCTGCATACCAAAAGCTAACAGATGCTGAGTCAATATTTACGCCAAATAGTATTATGGGTAAACATTCGTACGCTTAAAACCTATTTATTCTGAGAGTAAACGTATATTCAAGTTGTAATGATAAAACTAAGTTTATATTACTATTATCGTTATAATTACAAGATAAATAAAATTCATCATGTGTTAATATTTATTATCACAAGCAGTTTATTGCCAATCCCCTATAAAAATAATTATGATAGATTACACCGGGATAGATTATGGGATGTAGTTTACATCCCATAATCTATCCCGGTGTCAAGCAAACATTTTTACTAATTAAAAAAAGTGAAATAAAGGACAGATAGAGTCAAAAATTTAAAAAGTTTATTTTTGCTATCATTATCGATCGAAAAGCAGTTAGCAATTTGCTTTAACAAAATATGTACTCATATGTAGCTTTTATTTATTTACGTGCTTATTATACCGTACACAGATTATATTATCAGCGAGTACTATGAAAGGGAATTTTCAAGTATATTTCAGCATTTTTTAGGGGCAAGAAAAGATAGAATCGCTAAAAGGTTTTTTAAACTTAAAGGGTTTAAGTTACCCAAGTTTTTTTTTTTTTTTTTTTTTTTTTTTAATTAAGGGTTTAAGTTACCCAAGTTATGGGTAGCTTTTTTACTGAAAGGTGACAGTTGACAAATATCAAATATGACTTTGACTTCGAATGCTGTAGAGCAGTGATTCTCAACCTTTTTTTTGTTGCGGCACATATTTAACGATTTCAAAATTTGGCGGCACACAAAGAAAAAGATAAAAATTATTTACTTACTACAACACACTGCATAAATAGTTTATGACAAAAATTTTAAATATACGAAATAAACTAATATATACTACAATAATAACTAAACGTTTATTAAGGGATTAATTACAAGCTAATAATAAAAATATTTTTAATGCGAAATTTGAGCTTGATGTTTTTTCATAATTTCATTTACATTTTGTAGTAAAAATGACAATGCTACTCTCATATCTAATATCTCATATCTCTCATGTCTTCTACATTTAACAATCTTGATCTTTTTTTAGTTTTAAGGTTGGCTAATGCCAAAAAATATTTTTCTTTTTAAATGATATAATTTAATAATATTAACATTATTATATATTTGCAAAGTTTGGCGGCACACTTTTGAAATTTGGCCGCACACAAAAGTGTCGCGGCACAGTGGTTGAGAATCACTGCTGTAGAGCATTCAAAACGTATGCATTTATAAAATTGACGATAAAATCAGTAGAGTAGGTTTATTATAATTATATTAAATAAATAATAAAATAATATATGACTATTGCGGGGCCACGCAGTGACTTCTTCTGAGGTAAGGCAGGCTCGTTCGGGGAAGTAGTATGGCCTCACAGAACCCCATCTTAGAAGAGGTATAATTATAATTTACGTTTCGTCTGGTGTCTGAGTTAACTGGGACCTACTTTTTCGAAGGTTGTCAACGCATCAGCTTTTTTAGATTTCAATGGGTAGCGGTAATCACTTAACGTAAGGTGAACCGCGTGTTCGCTTGCCAACTTTTCACATAAAAGAAATACAATTTGAATCATATCAACAATAGCTTTATTAGTACAAGATAGAACGGATATTTCAAAATACAACACAAAGGAACGATTAGATGCCTCGCATCATATGATTTGTTACATAGTGGTAACGTTATGAAAACAAACGTTTTTTTTTGCTTTATCTGTGTGTCATCTGGCATACCTTACATAAATATAAAACTCCTGCGTCACAGCAGATGACGTCTTAAAAATAGGCAATACTTTAACACGCTCTCATAACATAAGAAGTAAAAGCCGGCCAAGTGCGAGTCGGACTCGCCCACGGGGGGTTCCGAATCATTATCTATAAAAACGGCAAAAAAAATCATGTCTGCTGTATGGGAGCCCCACTTAAATATTTTTTTATTTTATTCTGTTTTATTTTCTTGTTATAGCGGCTTCGTCATGTGTGAAAATTTCAACTGTCTAACTATCACGGCTCATGAGATACAGCCTGGTGACGGACAGACAGCGGATTCGTAGTAATAGGGTTCCTTACCGAACTCAAAGGGTCAATTTGGCTACTACTTATACTAATTTACGCAAGTCCTGTCACGTACATCACAAAACCTAGCCAGCCCTTGGTGCAACATCAAAGCATGACGCTATTAAAGTAAAACATGATGCCACCTTATATACTTATTTAACAAAAACAGTACATGCGTATTTTAATTATATTTTAAGTATGTGAAAAGTTGGCAAGTGAGCAGGCGATTAATCTGATGCCAAGTCATTGCCGCTGCCCATGAGCACCTGAACAGTTGCAGATGCGTATCATGCGTTCAAACCGTTAAAAATGTGGGCTCCGGAGTCCGGTAACTACATTCAAAAGACGATACGAATTAGACTATAATACTTCCGATTTACAACGGTCTTCTGTGAAGTCGGTTCTTTTGCACTTGAGTAGTCGTGTAACAGCACGAAGAACAGGAAACGAAACGAAAAGAAGAGTTCAAAAAATCAGTGTAAGCTGGAATTGGCTTACAAACCCATCAACCATTAACATGCCTTTATGAGCATGGTATACACATATATATTTATGTATGTGACGGAATTTTGCAATTAAGAATAGTGTGATTAACAAAAAAAAATCTTTAATTGTAGAAAAGTACGGGGTTAACCACACTATTAATAATGTAAATTTATTGAAAATTATTAGTTCAGTTATCTACAAAAGCGTGTTTTGAAGTTTTTTGAAACCTATTATTTATTTATTCATTATTTTAATTTCGTATTAAAGTTTTGTCTCTAATAATAACACGTTATTACGTTTTTTTGACGTGAGTTTTGTTATGCAATATATAGATTGCCAAAAAGAGATCTACGGCAAAGCAGACGTCAGTTCAAGGCGTCAATAACAAATTTCTGTGCGATTCGGATGTGTGGTCGTCTATTTTCGCCTAAGGCTTTTATTTATAGCATTCCTCGCTTTGATACAATTATATTGAAGAGTTAACTGATTTTTGGCACATAGCACAAACCATTACCCACTTTTTTCTTAATTCCGAGATATTTTTTTTTCTTTTAACACATTATGAAATTCAAGAGTCAAGACATTCCTGCAACGATTCAAAGTAAAAATAAAATAACATATTAGCGGACTAAATCATGTTTGTAAAAAATTCAATTATAACTTGATTATAACAAATAATGGTGACCTAATTGCAACTGGCGATCTCAGGTTCTATTTCGATGGCGATCAATAACTTGCCGTTGTGCTGGCACATCGGTTCTTTACAAATGAAAACCGAAAAGGGTAGTATACAAAAGAGTATTAGTTTTAAAACTGTATCAAATAGTTTTTTACTACTGCATCTCTTAATGGCATTCAAGAAACAAGAGTTTGTACGTTAAGCACAAACGCTACGCAAATTACTGCAGAATTCCCTTTGTAAGTTGGTTTGATCTGATGATAATCGAGGTCAATCTTACCAATCATGGTACCGACGATTAGAGCCACCCCACTGAAGAGTCCCACCCGTCTCTTGAGGTGAACAGGGTCGTCCGTAGCTGCGTCCGACCCCTCCAACTGCACAAGTAGCACCCGATTAAAGAAAACTTAATCAAAAGAGCGATGACTCCGTGGCGCAGTTGCAAATGTATGGTATGGGGCAGGGGTCGTGGGCTGGATTCTCACACTATCACTCAACTATTTGTGTGACCCACAGATAACTGTTTCGGATCTGGGTGTTTGTCCATGTGAAGTGTATGTAAAACGTCCTTACAACACAGGATAATGTTATCCTACACTAAATGAAAGTTTTAAAAAGACAACATCTGTAACGGAAGACATCTGACTCAGCTAATCACAGACCAGTGGTCCAAACTTCCAAAATAAGGCTTAGGGTAAACTCAAAATGAAACTGAAAAATATTTTAAACTCGCAAACAAGTTTGTGAAGGCTCATCTTCATCTTCCATTGACGTTATTACTCTATCATTTTAAGTGACGATTACAATAAAAAATATTTTTTAAATTTAATTAGTTGTTTCATGATTTTATTCTGTATAATACGAAAAATCGCAAGCAAAAATACGGTAGTTATTTCATTCACAGAAAAACATTTCATAAATGGCATTTGAATGTAATGTTGTGGAATAATAATCTTGTTTGATTCATAAAATGAGTCACTTCTGAGGTTATCTAAATATAGATAAGTTTCATGTCTACATGTTCTGTACGTTTTCCTAAGCGATTCAGCATTTTTGTGGTAAATTTGGGTGGATATTTCCATTTATAATAAACTAGTATTTCGCCCGCAATAAAAAATAGCCAATGTCATTTCTCAGACTATCTGTGTACCAAATTTCATTTAAATCGGTTCAGTAGTTTTGGAGTGAAAGCGAGACAGACAGACAGACAGAGTTACTTTCGCATTTATAATATTATAGTATGGATTTTAAACACATTTTTGTTTTCATCCGAGCGAAGCGGACGGTAGGCTGATCACTCGTCACGTATAGGAAAATAAGCGCGGTGGAACCGTGTTACTAATGTCACCTCTGTCTACCCACTTTTTTCATCTAAGTTGCAAAGACGGAAACTGGCACAAGACTAATAAAGCTTTTATTAAAGACTACAAATATATGTAATACCTAATAAACTATTTATTTCATTTAATCTTGTTGAATAAAACTTTTCTACGGATTTTATTTTTTAAATTCCTGACGTTTTGACAACTATAGTATTTAAGGCTATGGGACAGTCTAATTTCGTTTTCGTTGTAATCAGTCAGTCTCACTGTTAGTCCGTCGGCAGTTCAAGAACAAAATAAAAGCGCAAAATTTATTTAACAACGTGTAGCTGAATATGCGTGAATGAAATAAATCATCAAATATAAATCATGCATCAATAAACAACGTTTAACTTGAGATCACCTAAAGTGTTGTTTTACTGTTCTAACTTTAGTTATCTGTCCCAGTGACAGACAACTAAAGTTATGTCCCTTACTTAGCCAAACTTATGTTCTTTAGTTAGGTACGTTAGGATTTTACGTTGCACAATTTTAATGGCTAATAGGCTTCCATTTATTGAATATTTATTTATAATGTACATTGAAATGGATCCTGTGCTTACAGGTGCAATATCAATAAAAAAAATCTATTAATATTCAATATTACAGATTTGTATGTTAATTGCTAATTATTGACTTTAAAAGAAATATTACGTTAATAAAATTTCAGAAAACGATCGCAGAATTTCATTTTAGTAAGTGGAACACAAAAAAACATAACAGCTTTCGAATGTAATCGTTTTATTTCGGTACCTTGTCTCCTGGGTTGAGGTTGCCGTCGGCGAGCGCTCCCGCCGCGCCATCTTCGGCGTCGCACCCGCCTGAGCACCCGCGCCACACCAATCCGCCTTCGTGTGCGCCCCCTAAAGATTCACACAATTTAGAAAACTGCCCATAAAATGTTCAAACATAGATCAATCAACTTTTACCTATAACAAATATAAAACTAGGGTATTGTATATTACTCAGATACAAAATGCAAAGCGGCAGACTATTTGCCTCCTATATAAAGAAACATCCATACACAGTCGTACTTATGAACGTCGGTCAGGGGTAGAATAAATAATTTTAAGCTTGGTTTCGTAATGTACATCGGCAACATGGTCCTATTTTGTTGGCTTAGGGCGGTTAACCCACATCTCTGATCACGACCGCGGCATAAAATATTTTCTGTCTCCTTTATCCACTCTTTACAAACCACCAAAGCAGTTTAGATTTTACTTCTATATTAGTTTTTAACAACACCATGTAAAGAAAGATAAAAGGAATGAGGGGTAGAGGTAGCCCGAGGATAAGCTATGTATCGCAAATTAAGAGAAACATAAATGTTAATTCGTATAGGGAGGTATCGGAAACTGCTTTGAAGATAGAGGGAGTTGCACAACTGAACTGACATGGATTTTTTTAATTTATTAAAGAGGGTTTTTACAAACTGACATAGATGCTACAGCGACAAATCCTAGCTCTTAAAGAGTGAGATTCGTTTTTAGCAATTAGGGATGAAAATAGAATATGTAGTGAAATAATACTTAAGCATATACTTTCATAGTTTATACGCTAAAATTACCAAATTAATTGAAAAAGGAACATGCACGAGATACTGTATGAACCATATGTGTAATGTATATTCAATAGTTTTTATAAGCAAATCCGGCAGCATTTCCTGGTAAAGGACAATTTGACAATATGTGACAATCAAACTAAAAATGCGGCAACAAATAAAAAAAAATGTCTCGCTGTATGTTTATATTGACGAAGCAATTCCATCATCACATGCGTAAGAAAAATTTTGTTTTTCATATTATGGCGAAGTTATTTTGCTAGCGAATCTTTTATAGGATAATTTTACCCATGACAGAAAAAGAGCCATTGCTTAGTCAGGAAACTTAGCTCAGATAGTGAAAGGTCAATGGAATTTTTTGCCATAGAGTGTATGTTGCCAAGAGAATAGAGTATACTTATCGACAATTCACATTAAAGCTTTTATGTCTTTATCACTTAAAATCGATTCAAGGACAAAAAGCAATATACACTGCTATTGATCGGTGCAGTGAACAGTAACCGCTAGTAATAACAAATCTAACACTGAATCATAAATGCTGTTATGACTGTGGCCTCACATTTACTATAGTACATTGCTGTTGAAGTACCAATTTTACGGATCAATAATAACATCTCGAGACTATTTCTTTATCAATTATATAATGCGCTAAAATATGTATTACACTGTTACACATATATTATGATATTTATTTACCTTCGTGAGCTAGTTTACAAAACCACATGTAGTTGTTACGTACGTGAATTAGTTGTGCCGATAATATGTATTAGGTTGCCAAAGACGGCCAAAGGCTCAGTGAAATTGTTTTTGTTACATTTTCCTGTGTAAATTGTCCTTATTAAAATTCTTGTAGCGAACCCAAAAACTTGTTTTAATAAACAAATACATATATAAAGCTTAAGAAATCCTACTTTTTGTTCAAAATAGTGTTTCTGCAAGCGCCGCTCAAAATGACGTTTGCAACCTATTTGCGTGTTATGGAGGTAATACGAATTTACAATTAGTTGGCTTTTGAATGGATTTTAAAGTATTTTAGTCTATTTTGTACAAAAAAATCAAATATCAATTAACGTTTGTACGGAATACATTATTGTAATTTTGAGAGAGCTACTAGCTGTTGTCATATATCCAAGATCATTTAGGACTTTCATTTTTACAGTATTCACTTTAGAATTCTTAGGATTTGGCAATTTCATTTATGTTTGAAGAATTTGTTTTTCGTTTTCCAATATCATGAACCATGTATGTAGCAAGTTGAAAATTTAGGTTTAAAATACAAATTATAACATGTACGGTGGTTTGTATTGTTAAGAATTTTTTGTAAATTCAGGAAAAATTATAAGAATGAAATTTTAACGATGGCAACTCCGACAGCTAAAAAGCGACATAATCAACTTCACGAAATTACCATGGCAACCAATAACAACTTTTAGATAACAAAGAGTAGATACTGGCACAGGGGATAAACATTTTAATTATTTGTCTTTCGTTATGTTATAGAAGTATAACAACTACTTAAGTACTTAAGTACACATTCAAGTAGTTATACTTAAGTGTGTACATATGTTATGTACATACATATTTTTTTTAATTCGTAACAATTCAAAATATATAATTAAAAAACATTAAGGATTTAGGATATTCATTTTCATCAACTTTTTTTGTAGGATATAAATCGATTTATCAACACAACGTTTTATTATTCAAACTTGAAAACGTAATGGCAATTGGCAAACACTATCGCATTTGTTAAAACTCATGAATAAAAGTAACTTACATACATTTACTTAGAACCATTACATATCAAGTGCTTTAAAATTATTTTTAATTAGGTATATTACCTAAATGACTTTCCGTGAAGTATGCACATATGAGGTCATAAGGTTTATGTTACTTTGTCCGTTCAAGTTTCTATTTGATGACGCTGTAATGACATATGAAACCGCCGGACGCGACGTATTCAAAACATCGCCTGCCAGCCATCACGTACACCATCTATTTTCTTAACCAACCAACATTTTAGTAACGCTTCAGCAAATTTCCAAAATAGAACCAAACCTAATACTTATATCTTTTATTTTATTTATTAATTACCATTCAATTTATTGCATCGTTTCAATGTTATAAAAAGATATCGACGTCAAGTAATCTTTAGACATGCAGACATGCAGGTATGATAAAAAATAGTGTTAGTAGAAATGTTGTGGAAGATTTAACAGCATCTTCCCGGAATGACGCAATGTTCTGAACGTCACGTGCTGAATATAGGATACTAGAATAAACCCCACGTGATGGTTTACATAATAAATTACAATGAAATATCTTACCTGCGCTGACCGCAACACAAAGAAAAGCAAAATAAACAACAGTGATTATTGTAAACGTTCGCAATCAAACATTGCGCTTTAAAAATATGTAACGTGCATTAACTAGTGGCATTTAAAACGAAGCAGCTTTCAGAAATTATGTAGAAAATAGCAAATTGGTCTTCTTATCATTATTTACTGTAACTATTAGGAGGTAACGAAAACTCATGTGCAAATGTTTTCTTCAATTGACGTTTGGATTGGATGCAGAACTATTTTAAATAATTTTTTTTGTTTTTATTTTATGACACTTTACGTCTGAAGTTTGCGAACGACGCAAAATTGATAAACAAGATTAAAATTTACTCCCAATACGCTACGGTTTATTAAGAGTAAACATCAATTAAATGTACCCAAGGTATCTGGATTGTATCCAAAATTCCTTCAATTAATTGTGTTTAAATAAATAGAAGTGAGTATTTCGAAATAGTAATAAAATGTATTAGTATTTTTCTTTTAAAACGTGATAATGAAGAGGTTTGTGTAATTGATTATTTTGAGATTACTTGACGCCTGATATGATCTTCATAGAATGCAATGTGTCCGAAATAAGGAAAACATCCTTTAAAATAACGGCCATGCACAGTAAAAGCCCACGGATAACTCATAGTAAAATCCCCTGATACAAACTTCTGCGACACTGTTTGTAGCAATAACGCACGTTACAACTTTATAGTTACGTTAAGCCGTGATAGCTCAGTGTCTGGGCGCTCGCCTTTAATTCAATATAGTCGAGCAACCTGAGTTCGATTTCGGTACCGGCACCAATGAAATTGTTAATTTTAAGTGCCGAATAATCATGTGTTCAGCGGTGATGGAAAACATCGTGAGGAAAAGTGCATATTTTCGAAATAATAATAAAAAACAAAATATTTCGAAGATATGTGAAGTCCGTCAATCCGCAGTGGGGCCGCGTGGTGGACTCTGCCCTGATACCCTCTGTACAGAGGAGGCCTTTGCCCAGCAGTGGGCTGATACTTTACTTTTTTTTTACTTTACAACTTTATTAGAGTATTATTCGTCATTATTATTAAATATTTCTTTTTCTTTTATATATGTATAAATACATCATTAATGATAATGAGATGTTATTCAATCGTCTTCGTGCAATGAAATATGGCATTCGATACACTATTAGACATTGTATCATTAGGACAGCTTGTGAGTTGCGTACATATTTATAAAGCAAGATCGTGACATTGTTTGACATATTCTACATTGCAATCAAATATGTCTTTATATTTTTTTTCGGTAACTAGATCGTGCACGCATAAATGGGATGTGAAATGCAATTTTTTTTAATTCTTACTACAAGGCGAGAATGGAACTCTACAAGTTGAAAATATAAAACCCTGCAGCTTTTAAAACTGTAAAGTCTTATTGAGTCTTTACAATATCGTCGATTCTATCGAACTCAATACGAATCGTAGACTATATTTTTGGATATTCCTCGATACGAGTTCTAAAGAATTTGAACTACAAAATTTTAATTCTAGAGAAAGAAATCTCTTACCGACATTTTTAGAGACTAGGTAAATCAGAGTAGACGGAAACAGTAACCATATGTGTAGAAAATATTCGATGTAGAGATAACTAAAATGATCACGCAGCCGATGTTCTGAGATGAAAAGATCCGTTTGCACCTTCTGCGAACACGAGGACTGGGGAGAAGGCGGGGCCCCGCGGCTTGCCAGCGCTATCGGAGTGCGCGGACGTACGAGTGGAGCCACGCAGCAGCGCAGCGAGTTTGTCACGCATCGCATCGCACATGCGCCCGTCGCAATGTACCGCGGTGGCGCCGGCGCCGCAACACAAACGCGCGCCAACTGTCCGCTCCACTCGATATAAACCGCGAAACGATCCTCGCCAGCGCTATGTCGGGCTCACTGTCGTTATCACTTCTTTTCAACCACACCTGCGTAACACCACCTTCGCG